CTCTCCGTACTCCTCCTCCGCTGCTACCTCGGGGTTCTCCTCACCCTTGTGCTGCTCCTTGGCTGCTGCATAACTCTCCTTAGGTTCACTCTTCTTGCTGGTCCCTCCAAGGTTCCACTTGTTGGACTCATTCTCCTTAACGCGACCGTTCGCGCGATCGCCGCTACCAACCGCTTCACCCTTGGTGCTGACGCTTGCTGCCACTTGCCTCTTCTTAGGCATGGGGACCACAGGGATCTGCCACATCTCGTTGTAGACATCCCTGTCCTCATGAAGGTCCCAAAGAATCCGATCGCCAAGCCTTGTGGTGTAGGTCTTGGCTCCCTTCGAGTTCGTGTCCATGCCGGCCTTTGCCAATCGCTGCACGGAAATCAGGTTCGCAGCAAGGCTGGGCACCCAAAGCACGTTCTTGAGGCCCACCATCTTCCCATCAGCACCCTTGAATATGGCCTTGCCCATGCCTTTCACCTCTCCTCGCTGCCCTAAAGCCGATGTGACATGCTTCACCGGTGACGGTTCGAGTTCGGTGAGTAAGTCCGGGGGAGGTGTCATGCTATAGGTAGCGCCACTATCGATCACCCAATATTCCAGGGGGTGTAGGGTCACCTTCCCCACAGCTGCTGGCTCCTCAAAGCCTTCATCCTTCTCTGGACCAGCTGGTACTTGGGTCGACACGAAGTAGAATAGACCCGGGTATCGATCGTCGCTCGGGTCCTTGTCGTTGTCTCCGCTCTTCATGTTTGCAGCTCCGCCACCGCGACCGCCACGGCCTCCACGGCCTCTTCATCTCCCTCCTCCTGCTCATCTACCCTGTTGGCCTTGAGCAGGGGTCCAACCATCAGGAAGCTTGTAGCAATCGCGCCACATATGTCCGCTCTTGTGGCAATAATGGCATTCGCCGTCGAATCGGCCGCGACCGCGTCCGTAGCTCTTGTCCTCGCTGCCGTAACCGCCACTCCCGCGGCCTCTATTGAAGTTGTTGCTGCCAAATCTGCCTCCCCCTCGTCCTCTGCCTCTTCCTCGGCCATATCCACGGCCGACGCTCGCTGCCCCAGCGCCATCCGCACTCGCCAACTCACGGCGGCGGAAGTCCTCTTGAAGGATCGCTCGCTTCACGTCTTCAAGCGAGAGACGGGGCAGATCACGGTTCAAGTTGATGATGAGCGAGGACCACGATTCCGGGAGTAGGGCCAGCAACTTGGTCTTCTTCTGGAGCTCACTGTAGTTCAAATCTGCTCCTTCAAGCCGCGTCAACAAGTCAAAGAATTTCTGCACCCCTTCTTCAACCGCTTCATCCTCTTCAATTCGTAGTGTCACCATTTGCCGTTCCAACACCACAGCTACCGCCGCTGTTGCAGGAGCGTGTACATCCTTGAGAGCAGCCCATGCCTTTGGTCCCTTCTCTGGTTCACGCTGGAATGGCTTGATGTGTCGGATCTGGCTGCTCCCCAACGCTTGCCCTAGTAGGAGGTAGCCTTGTACGCTCTTTCGCACCCACGGGCTCTTCTCCGGGTCGTTCTCGGGACGCTTCTCCGTTCCTTCCATCACCTCCAGCAGGTCATAGTGGTCAAACACGTTCTCCATTCCGAAGGACCACTCAGCAAAGTTGTCACCGTTGAACTTGTCAAGGCCAAACACTCTAGGCTCATCCCTAGATGGGGCAACACTTGGTTGCACGGGCGCCATGGCTGAGTTACGGGGTTGACCTTGTGCTTGGGGTCCTCCACTGCCTCCAGCACCTCTGTCACCCCTTTCCTCAGGTCCAGCTATTGTCAAAACTGCTCCAAGGGGCTCTGATACCACTTTAAGGTTGGAACAACTGGCCTGTTGATGGACCGGGTAGACCAACTGGCCCGTTTGTCCAATAGGGACCAACTGGCCCTTTGGTCCAATGGACCGGCTACACCAACTGGCTTGTTTGATCCAATTGACCGGTTGGACCAACTGGCCTGTTGGTCCAATGGACCGGTTGGACCATCTGGCCTGTTGGTCCAATGGACTGGTTGGACCAACAGGCCTGTTGGTCCAATGGACCGGTTGGACCAACTGGCCTGTTGGTCCAATGGACCAGGTTGATCAACTAGCCCGTTGGTCCAATGGACCGGTTGGACCAACTGGACCGTTGGTCTATTGGACCGGCTAGACCAACTAGCCTATTTGGTCCAATTGACCGGTTGGATCAATTGGCCAGTTGGTCCAATGGGCCAGCTAGACCATCTGGCCTTTTGGTCCAATGCTCCGGTTGGACCAACTGGCTTGTTGGTCCAATGGACCGGTTGGACTAACTGGCCTGTTGGTCCAATGGACCGGTTGGTACAACTGGTTGATACTCCAATGGACTGGTTGGACCAATGGGCTTGTTGGTCCAATGGACTGGTTGGACCATCTGGCTTGTTGGTCCAATGGACCAGTTGGACCAACTAGCCTGTTGGTCCAAAGGACCGGGTGGACCAATTGGCCCGTTGGTCCAATGGACCGGTTGGACCAGCTGGACCGTTGGTCCATTGGACCGGCTAGACCAACTAGCATGTTGGTCCAATGGACCGGTTGGACCAACTAGCCTGTTGGTCCAATGGACCAGTTGGACCAACTGGCCTGTTTGGTCCAATGCCCCAGTTCGACCAACTGGCCCGTTGGTCCAATGGACCGGTTGGACAACCGGCCTGTTTGAACCAATGCTCCGGTTGGACCAACTAGCTCCAATGGACCGGCTGGACTAACTGGCTTGTTGGTCCAATGGACCGGTTGGACCAACTGGCCTGTTGGGTTAATGGACCGGTTGGAACAACTGGCTTGTTGGTCCAATGGACCGGTTGGACCAACTGGCCTGTTGGGTTAATGGACCGGTTGGAACAACTGGCCTGTTGATGGACCAGGTAGACCAACTGGCCCGTTTGTCCAATGGACCAGTTGGACCAACTGGCCCTTTGGTCCAATGGACCGGCTAGACCAACTGGCTTGTTTGATCCAATTGACCGGTTGGACCATCTGGCCTATTGGTCCAATGGACTGGTTGGACCAACGGGCCTGTTGGTCCAATGGACCGGTTGGACCAACTGGCCTGTTGGTCCAATGAACCGGTTGGACCAACTGGCCAATTTGGTCCAATTGACCGGTTGGACCAACTGGCCTGTTGGTCCAATGGACAGGTTGGACCAACTGGCCTGTTGGTCCAATGCTCCAGTTGGACCAACTGGCCTGTTTGGTCCAATGCTCCAGTTGGACCAACTCGCCTGTTTGCTCGAATTGACCGGTTGGACCAACTAGCATGTTGGTCCAATGGACAGGTTGGACCAACTGGCCTGTTGGTCCAATGGACCGGTTGGACCAACTGGCCTGTTTGGTCCAATGCCCCAGTTGGACCAACTAGCCTGTTGGTCCAATGGACCGGTTGGACCAACCGGCCTGTTGATGGATGGGGTAGACCAACTGGCCCGTTTGTCCAATGGAATAGTTGGACCAACTCGCCCTTTGGTCCAATGGACCGGCTAGACTAACTGGCTTGTTTGATCCAATTCACTGGTTGGACCAACTGGCCTGTTAATCCAATGGACCGGTTGGACCAACTGGCCTGTTGGTCCAATGGACACGTTGGACCAACTGGCCTGTTTGGTCCATTGCTCCGGTTGGACCAGCTAGCCTATTTGGTCCAATTGACCGGTTGGACCAACTGACCTGTTGGGTCCAATGGACCGATTGGACTAACTCGCCTGTTGGTCCAATGGACAGGTTGGACCAACTGGCCTGTTGGTCGAATGCTCCGGTTGGACCAACTGGCCTGCTTGGTCCAATTGACCGGTTGGACCAACTGCCATGTTGGTCCAATGGACCAGTTGGACAAACTGGCTTGTTGGTCCAATGGACCGTTTGGACCAACAGGCCTGTCGGGTTAATGGACCGGTTGGACAAACAGGCCTATAGGGTTAATGTACCGGTTCTGTCACCGCATATGCTCTTAATGGATATGCAATAACAGTAGAATGCTGGTATAGTGTGGGCTTCATACTAAGACCATAGGAAGACTAGATAGGAATAAGAATATAAGTAATAGGTGTAGGATGTAGCGAAGTTACTGTTAGCAGCGCGGGTGTAGAAGGGGGGAAACAGGATAAGAGCGGTTGAGATAAAAAGGGGGAAAGACTTCGAAGGGCGAAATGTGAAACCAATCAACCCCAACCCCGAGCCGCACATTTGGAAATGTGCAGCCAGGGGTGGGGTAAGGTCACTCACCTCCAACCCATCGATGCTTTCTTGTTGTTATTCTCTCGAACTAGTGAAAGTTGTTGTCTCAAGCTCTAGCGCACTACAGCACGCCACTAAGAGGGAACCTACGGGGTGAGGGACGTAGCTCTTTCATAACAACGAGAAAGGCCGTGAAGAGACCTCTCAGCGTAGGCGATTATGGAGAACTGCGCTGGGGTAGGGCGTACAGTCGACGCGAGGAAGAGCGGCCGCGACGCGAACCATCGCGGGAACGAGGGCGATCCTGGGAACGATCGCCATGCCGACCGGCTTTCCGCGCGGATCGGGTCCCCACGGAGAGGGATCGTCGAGGGGAAGGAGCAGAAGGCGTGAGAGCGGGTACGGACGGGCAGACCATAGGCACGGATCGAAACGAGTGGCTACGCGAGAGCGCTCGTGGAAGTGACGTGGGCGGTGGAAGTCACCGCGACGCATGGGCGTTTCACTCGCCGGAGGATCGCGGGCGGCGCCGCGATGAGCGAGGGCGTTGGCGGGGATTTGAGGGACGGCCCCGGGGACGGGGAGGAGACGGCCGCAGTGATGCTCGCGAAGGGGCCGCGCAGGAGGACGTAGCGCCGGAGGCGACTCAGGAGCGGGACGCGGCAGAAGCGGAGGGGGACCAAGGGCTGCCGATCGAGGAGGCGGAAGTGGAAGATGCAGATGAAGCGCAGTCAGAGGGGACGGGCGAAGCGGAACCCATGCCGGCGGGAGAAAATGCGGGAATGAGTCAGGCGGTGGGCGGGGAGTTCGGGACCACGCTACAGGGACCGCGCGGTCAAGACAGCAGCCGCGGGGAGGGACACCGCGCGGAGGGCTCCAGGCGGCAGGACCAAGGGACACCGGACGAGGGCGCTCGCTATGCAGATGCGTCCAGACCACGCGGTGAGGGAAGGGCGGAGCGGTCGCGCACGCAGGAAAGGGGTCAGCGCCATGGAGAATGGCGCGTGGGCGAGTTCCGCCCGCATGACCGGCGGCAGGACCAGAGTGGCTGGGGCGGCGGAACGTCGCCAGGCGCGCGGTGACGAACAGAGGGGCGAGCCACGCTCACCCAGGTCCCAGGGGCGCCAGGAAGGGGGTCACAGGGCGGAGCGTGGGTCACAGGAGCAGCGCGGCCAGCAGTTGGGGGAGCGCAGCAGCGCAATGCGCTCGCCGGGCCGGCAGAGGCGGAGGGAGAAGCGGGACGACAGCGGGTCCCGCTCGCCCGACTGGCGCCACGCGCGGAAGGAAGAACACGGAGGGGGGAGGCCCTCACCGGAGCGCCGCCAACAGCGCAGAAGGAGGGAGGACGCCTGGTCGCCGTCGCCAGAAGGGCGGCCGCAGCGCGAGACGAGCAGATGGGATGAGCGTGAGGTGCGTGGGCCGCCGACGCCACAGTGGGGACGGGCGGAAGGGTGGGGAGGATCGAGGGAGAGGCGGTACGAGTCAAGAGGAAGTCGCCAGGAGGGCAGAACGGAGGGCGGAACACTGGCGAAGGGGGCAGAGCGGGCGCGGGAAGCCAGAGAAGGCATGCAAAGGGCGCGGGGGAGGGCAACGGAGAGGAGTCGACCGGAAGGGGCCAGTGAATCATGGGGAGAGGGGCGTGGGGGTGGCACCAGCACCCCGCGAGTAGAAGTGCCCGCCAGATTCTCAGGCGACCAACGTGGCCGACCCTCAAGAACTATCTCATGGAGGTGGGGAATGTGCGGTACCGCTGCGACCGGCACCCCATGGACCCAGTGGACTTCATCTTGAGCTTGCCGAACACACTGGAGGGGGAGGCCGAGACGCTCTACCGCATGCGGATGGAGGAGCTGCTGTGGAGGGCGGGGAGGTACGGCGAGGACCCCACCGAGGCATTCTTGGAGCGGCTGCAGCGGCAATTCCCAGGTCACACGGGAGAGCGCATAAGGGAGTTCCAGGAATTCAACAGGGGCCGGACCGAGTCACTACTGACCTACTATAACCGGCTGATCAATGTGGCGGAGGACGTGAGATGCACGGACAGCAGTCTTCTCATCAGCAAGTTCCTGGGGGGCTTGGACGAGGCCTTAGGAGGGGGGCTGATGATGAGAGTGTATGAGCTAAGAGCGGATGCAAGCCTGGAGGAGGTGTTCGCTTTGGCAGAGAGGGTGGAGCTCGCACAAAGAAAGTTTGAGGCGTATCTCCCCAGGCCATCGGAGAGGAGCAGGCGGCCAACGTGGGCGGCGGCAATGATACCAGGAGGAGGAGGGAGGACGGAGGGACGGGGGGAGACAGGGACGGACACCAGGACATGCTACAGGTGTGGACAGCCAGGACATTTGCGCAGGGATTGCAAGAACTGTGACGGGTGTGGGAAGCCAGGGCACAGGAAGCGGGAGTGCCCGGATGCAGCCAGGTGTGAAATCTGCAAGAGGCAGGGACATGAGGCGAAGGATTGCTACCAGAGAGAAGGGGGGAGTAGGAGACAGCCGGAGGAGCTGCAGCGGCAGATTAGTAGGTTGCAGGCATAGCTGAGGGCGACCGGGCTGAAGGGGGAGGCAGAGGCAGGGATGTACGCAGGAGACGGGGGAGGAGAGGAGGTGGAGCAGGATGTGCAGTGTGCTCTCATGGCGTGGAGAGGAAGGGAGGAGATGGGGCTGAAGAGCGGAGGCAAGGATGGCAGGCGGGAGCAGGGAAGGAAAGAACAGGTGAAGGGAGAGAAGCCAGCCGAGCCAGCCCCAGAGCCAGCCCCTACACGCCATCCCCAAGAGAGGCTGGCGTGCCAGACCTCGGTGCTGCTGCTAGAGAAGGGAGCCATGGAAGTGGAGGGAGAGAAGGTCAAGACAGCCATCATAGATACGGGGGCACAGAGCATGATGTTGGGCAAAGGGATGGCTGAGAGGCTGGGATTGCTGGCGCCGGAGAGGCACGTGGCTAAGGGGATGCTGGTGATGACAGCGGAAGGAGGGGAGCCGAAGTAGATGCCACACACACGGACGCCTATAGAGGTGACGCTGCTACCGGGGGGGGGAACACGAAACCAAAATCCGCATGAAGTGTGGGATTTCCGAGTTGGAGGACTTTGACGTGCTGGTAGGCACCGAGCTGGTGTATGCGGTAGGGATGACAATATGCACATGGACGGAGAAGGTCGAGTTTAGGACTAGATACTGGAAAGGGAGGGGCCGCTGGGAGAGCTGCCAGTGCGATTTGTGAAGGTGGAGCCGAAGAGAGCTTATCAGGCCGTGGGGGAACAGCTGCCGGGGGGGCAGGGGGGGCTGTTAGGGATGGGAGGAGCGCCCAGAATGAAGGGGATGGACAAGCCACAGCAGCAGAGCGATTGGCAGCAGCCCATACACCTGGTGGAGCTGTTTGGGGGGATAGGGGCAGGACTGTCCGCAGTGGTGAAGGATGGGATAGCAGTGAAGAGATGGACATATGTGGAGAAGGAACCAGGGGTGAGGAGGATAGCGGAGCACCATGCCAGGAAGTTGCAAGCGGAATTTCCAGAACTACTGAGTGAGGGAGTGATCAGCAAGGCGATGGGGGGGACGATCCACGATGTGAAGGAGATAAGTGAGGCGGAGGTGGCGAGCTGGGGGCAGGTGGATCTGTTGGTGGCAGGGTGGGAATGCCAAGGGGTGTCTTGGGCAGGCAAGGGCAAGGGAGGAGAAGATCACAGGACAGGGTTGCTGGAGGACCTGTTCCGAATCATGGAGTGGCTGCAAGAGAGGCAGGGTAGGGTGGCATACTTGCTGGAAAACCTGGATCTGGAGGGAGATAGCAGAGAGCCAATCCGACTGGTGAGGGACAGAATCAGGGGGCAGCTGGGAGAAGGGGTGAGCTGTGATGCGGCCAGAATGGGGTCTTATGCGCACAGGCTCAGAATGTACTGGCAGAATGTGGTCCCTGCCGCGCAGCTGCAAGCAGAGATAGAGGGGGTGAGGCGAGCAGCAGAGAGGAAGGTGTAGGACATCCTGGCACCAGGGCGGACCCCAGCACCGGTGAGTCGCAAGAGCTACAGTAGGCACGAGCAGTGCAACCAAGTGGGGCAGGAGAGGCGGGCTCTGCCCACGCTGGTGGCGTATGTGGGGGCAGCAGGGTACAAGTGGGAAGCAGGGAAGCCTGGGCCGGGGATGGTGTATGACCACAAGAGAGGGAGATGGGAGGAGCCCACGGCACTAGAGCGGGAGCTGGCTATGGGGTACGGAGAAGACGCAACAGCAGCACCTGGGGCAAGTGAAGCGGACAGGAGGAGGGCTCTGGGGAATGCAATGGATGGCCACGTGATGAGGTGGCTGATTCAGCGAATGTGGCGGGAGACGGTCGTGAGCTGGGGGCAGGAGGAAGGGAAAGGAGGGATGAAGGCGGAGCCACGGGGAGCGTGGAGCTGCCAGGCGAAGGAGGAGGAGAGCTGGGCGGTAGGGGAAGCGATGAGCAAGGGAGGAAGGGAGGCCATGCAGGGGCTGCTGGCGAGGCACCGGAAGTGTTTCGCTTTCACCATGCAGGAACTGGGGAGGTGCAAGGTGAAGGAGATGGAGCTGAAGCTGAGCAGCACAGAACCAGTGTTCCAGCGCAGGAGGAAGATGCCGCCCGGGGATGAGGAGATCTGCAAGGAGAAGATCAAGGAGCTGCTGGAAGTGGGACTGACTAGGAGATCGGAGTCCGAATATGCCACACCAACAGTGGTGGCAGCCAGGCGAGACCTGACAGGGAAGGTGCTGAGCAGGAGGATGTGTGGAGACTATAGGGCACTCAACAAAATCACCGTAGCAGACAGGTACCCGATGCCGATGGCGGAGGAGATCTTTGATAAACTGGCAGAGGGGGTGTTCTTCACTACGCTGGACCTGCGGCAGGGGTTCAACCAGATCAAGATCAGAGAGGAGGACATCAGGAAGACGGCCTTTCATGGGCCAGACGGGCTGTATGAGTGGTTGTACATGCCATTTGGACTGCGGAACGCATCAGCAGTGTTCCAGAGGGTCATGGACAGCGTGCTGCGGGGAGTGGAGTGCGCGGCCTGCTACATAGACGATGTGGTAATCTTCAGCACCACAGAGCGGCAGCACCTACAAGATGTGGAGAAGACCCTGGCGGCGATTGAAGCAGCAGGACTCACCTGCCACCCGAAGAAGTGCAAATGGGGGGAACAGACAGTGCAGTACCTGGGGTATGAGGTGAAAGGGGGACAGATAGGGATCCAACAGGCCAAGGTGGAAGTGCTGGACAGACTGAGGGAGCCGAAGGACAAGTCAGGGCTGAGAGCAGTGCTGGGCTTCTTGAGCTACTACAGGCCGTTTGTGCCCAACTTCAGCAAGAGAGCGGCGGTGTTGAATGGGCTATTGCGAGAGGACAAGGCGTGGGAGTGGGGAGAAGCACAGAAGGGGGCACTGCAGGACCTGATGGCTGCAGTGAAGACCGCAACGGTACTCAAGCTGCCCGCCGCTGATCAGCCGTTTACGCTCTACACCGACTGGAGCAGCCAAGGGATGGGGGGAATTCTCTGCCAGGAGGTGGAAGGAGAGGAGAAGGTAGTGGCATATGTGAGCAGAAGCTGCAACTCGGCAGAGGCACAGTACAGCTCCTACATCGGAGAAGGGTTGGCGGCCGTATGGGCAGTAGGACATTTCAGGGTGTACCTGCAGGGGAGGGAATTCACCTTAGTGACAGACCACCAGCCCCTGACGTGGCTGATGACAACCCCGGGACTAACGGGCAGGAATGCAAGTTGGGCGATGAAGCTGCAGGAGTATGACTTCAAGATTAGGCATAGGCCAGGAAAAACACTGCAACACGTGGATGGCCTCTCTCGGAACCCGCCGCCGCTCGAGCCCACTGTGACCTTGACAATGCTGGCCAGATTAGTGGAGCAGAACGGGGCCAAGGAGGGGAAGGGGCCAGCGGATATTTGGGAGGACGGACCAGCCATGCGATGGGTGAAGGGAGAAACAGGAGAGGACGAAGCGCTGCCGGCACGAGTGAGGGCAAGGGGCCAGCATTACAGGTGGTACCAGCAGCAGTTGCAGGTGCAGACAGAGGACGGATGGAAGCTGGTGCCGGCCCCAAGCGAGAGAGAAGCAGTGATTAAGGAGGTCCACACCAAGCTAGGGCACTTTGGGCACGAGAGGACAGTGCAGCTGTTGAAGACAGGGTGGTGGTGGGAGGGGATGCGGAGGCAAGTAAAGGGGTGGGTGGAGGGCTGTGAGGCATGCCAAAGGAGCAGGGCAAACCTCACCCAAGCCAAGGCGGAGTTGCAGTCGCTGCCCATCCGAGGCCTCGGCTTCCGATGGTCCTTAGATCTGGCGGGGGAGCTGCCACTGAGCCGTGGGGGGAAGCAGTACATAGTGCTCATGGTCGAACATGTGAGCAAGTGGCTGGAGGTGAGAGCGATCCCGAGCAAGAGCTCCAGACACGTGGCAGCAGCGTTCAAGGAACAAGTGTTGTGCAGGTTCGGGGCATGTGCAGAGGTCCTAACGGATCAAGGGACAGAATTCCAGGGGGAGTTTAAGGGGCTGCTGGAAGAGACTGGGATCACCCACAGGCGCACTTCGCGGTACCACCCACAGAGCGATGGGCTGACTGAGCGACTGGTGCAGACCTTGAAGCGGGGACTGCGAGCGTACG